TTTGGTTTCGCTTGGGCGCACCTGTATTGGTGTGACTCTAAAAACTGCCTGGCACTCCGCCTTCACCATTTCTCTAGTTACTTCGATCCTTCCGTCTAATTTTCGGATGCATATTTGGACATGAGAGACCATGATAGACGTCCAATCTAAAGCGGGCTTAATTGTGATTTACTCCTTCTGAGGTGAAGGTCCCACACCCAGAAATAATTCCCTGAGTGCATATGATGCGCACTCTATTGTTAGGTCAGACCTAACTTGTGTTATCGCTATAATTGCTGAAGGTGCGACTCCGGCTTTCTCAGTGCTGAGCTTCTTGATTGTGTCAAGTGATAGCCTCCGCCATGGATGTTCTCGGCCCATGCGAACGAAGAGTCGTTTATCCTCTTTTGGAGGCTTTTGTCCGGCTGATTTTGTCTGCACGGCAGGCCTTCGCTTTACCAGGTTGGCTGGCGGCTCCAGGAGCTTTGCTGCTTTTCGGGCTATTGTCACCCACGGAGAAGCAGTTTCCCGTGGCTTTTGAGCGAGTTCGTGGTGGGGGTTCTCCGCTATTTTTGTCACCCTGGACACCGAGGTTTTCATCTGAGTACTTTCATGGGATGGGTTCTTGCCTTGGGAATTTGCGGTATTGACATTGCCTATCGCAAACGCTGTTACGATAGGTGAAATATTTTATATTAGTGGCGCGACTAAGTTCGTGCCTTCAACTCCTGACAAGGATTTGGCCCAGGCATCGATATTTTTCAGGAAATTTTGCGCTACGCTCATTCGTTGTTTTTGTTCGCGTTCTGATTGCTCCATTGCGGCGGCAATCCCAAGGAGGCTCGGGTGTAATAGGTCTCCTGCGTCAGTTGATGCCGAGGTCGACGGCTGGCTGTGCGCAGCTATGATGCCGCTAGATTTTGTGGGTATCGATGAGTGGATAAATTTAATTATTCGCGTGGAAGTGATGATGATAATTGAGTTATAGTTGTGATTATTGTTTACTTAAGAGTAAAGTGGGTAAGGCGTTTGGAGATCTTATTTACCCTGTATTAGTAGTTTCATATTAGCGTTTAGACGAGGCTGGTAGACACATATTAGTAGGAGCATAGTCGCAGCATTTTCCTAAATGCTGAGTTAGCAGAGTAATATACACGTTCTGTTAACCCTATACTTTATCAATTCTACTTCCAGTACTACTGTATGACTCGCCTAAAGGAATTATATTTCAATAGATTTGGTGTTTGAATTTGAATTTGAATTCATTTAACCCAATTTGGCGCCCTGTGGGCCATTGCAGGCGGCTATGAACCTATCAGTGTATTTATACGAGGAGGAAAACTTGCGGTAAAAACCCCCTCCCCCTATTAACTTTTATTTTCATCTAAAGTCCTTTGTTACCTATAGGAAGTGCAATTGGCCTTGAGTCTGACACAGCACTAGCTAAAATTATATTCGACCTCGCCATCCTTTCCCTGCCCTCGCGTGCTGAAAATAGACGACTGTGGTCTTCAGCTTGACCCCGATAGTCCAAATACTTGTGGTGGGGGGTTGGCCAGGAGCTGTTTGCGCGGGCGTCCTGGCCCTCTCTTTAGTACCTCCAGCTTTTGGTGGGATACCAGTGTGAACCCTTGGTCGTTTGTAGATTTTGCCGTAGTAGTTATTTTAGATACCGTTGTTAATGTATCTCCATTCCTGAATTCCGCCGTTTTCTCCATGAGTTCATACCGTGCCCGTTGAACGCTGGCCTTGTATGCCGCGAAGTTTTGACACACCCCTTTCTGCCAAGATTTACGGTCTTTTCCGCAGTTGCAGCAAAGCACCGACTTCCTCGGGCAGTCCCTGGTCTGATGAGTGCCCGCGCACTCACCACATCTCCTTACCCTATTGCACGAGGCTTGAGTATGCCCCCATTGATAGCAGTTAAAGCACTGCTTGATTTGAGCACGGGGTGACCAGGGCTGGGCCTTGTATAGCATTGAGTTGTATACAATGCCATTTCTTATCACTTTGCGTTGAAGTGCATCGGTCGGCAAACTCGCGACGATTGATCCTCGAGTATGGCCGTTTCTTCCCATCCATCGGTGCTCTTTCCCGTCAAAGGGCCATCTCACCCTGTTGATTTTTATTTCGGGGATCCGAGCTTTTGTTTCTACCATAGTTTGATTTATTAATTCGCCGTTATTTGTATTTTTTCCTCCTCTTAAATATGTCCCCGACGGAATCCCCAAAATCTCAACAGGGTAATCCTGCTTCAGGACGCAGAACTCCTTTGGTTGCGCCATACTCAGGGCCGCGTCTCGCTGGGAGACCGACTATACAAACACCTCAGTGCCGTTACTGAGCATCGAACGAATTGCGTATGCGCCATCGATGTGCTCTTTCGCCTTTGGTAGCAGCTCTGCAGGCTGAAATTTATCCGCTCCGTCGATTCTTTTTTTTTTAAATCATTTAATGTGTATTCAGCTATCTAGCTATAACACATGACCGGTGCTATGTATACATGTAGGATGATTCTTTTGACGTTGGAGACACTCATTCTCTGGATTTCATCCGCAGATACCACTATGAGGTATCTTTGCTCACACAAACAGTCGACCCTCTTCCGTAAGTACTCTCAAAATGGAATTTTAAAACCTTTGGTTATCCATGCATACTAGCGTCGCGAGAGAAGTGGTTGAATTTTGCCGGATTTGAACCAGCGATCTACTGTCTCGAGTGGGATACGTGTCCAAGCTATCCAGACCTTACTTGGCAGACCGGCCAAGAGGATGTACCACCGCACCATCCAACCATGGCGGTGTTTATAGTGTCGCCTGCACTCTTGCAACCGAAGACTTGGCACGCACAAAGCTCAAATTGTAAAACTCCTTGCCAAAATTCAATAATCCACTTCCGTCAAGACTGTATCCATCCCTCGCATCATTTTGTCAACTTGTCCTGATCCCTCTCGCGTCCATCCCAACGAACAGTCTCCCAGATTTGTGCGCCACGCTTTGTTTCTTCCGTCGGGTGTATATATCAGCGCGGGCGTGTATCTGGCGACCAGCTGAAGCCAGGGAAAGTCGGCAAGAGGTGTGGTCATTGAAATGAGGATGTACTGGGCCGTACTTTTAGGCTTGATGAGACTTAGGTAGGATTCGAACTCGTTGGGAGTGAAAGATGGACATGGCGGAGTATTTTGAATCATTGCCTCAAGTGCAAATTTCTTTGCTATTACGAAATTTGAATGAACTTGGCTCTGAGACAGTGTTTCACTCCCAGACTCGTCGGATAGACTGCGGACTGATTTTTTAACTTTCGTCTTCCGCTATTTCCTCCCAAAATATCCGCACAGGCAAGAAGGTTATCATACCTTTTGTTTAGGGCTGCCAGGCTCATCTTCATTCAACATATGTACTGGTTTGGCTTCACTCAGGCAACTTGAGCTTTAACAGCTTGTATTCCTAATTTTTACGGGGGACTATTCTCAACACCTATCAGTGGTGTCCCCTACGAGCCTCCAGCTCTCACTGTAGAGTCTGCAGAGCCGAGATTGAGTAACAAAGTCCTCACTTCGACGAGGATTCCCAATCGCTATCGCTGTCTGTATCGTCTTCATCTCTCAACACATTCCCCTATCACCATTATCATGAAGCTAACCACGATCAGATCAGATGGTAGGATCGGAGCCTTACTCATCATCAGCACTTGATCATGGAGGGTAAGTCATCCAATGAGTTTCCGGAGCGTACCCAGCACCCGATACGAAGATGGTGGATTGGATCAAATTGGCCTCGACTGTTATGAACAGAGAGATTTAGATGAATATGCGCACCTCATGTGGTCCCGGTGTCTAGGCCTCGCCTGGCTGGGACTGCAGGTTTTTCGAGACTATTTCCAGCGCACGCAGTTTCCATTGCTACCATTTTTATTTTTTTTGGTAGAAGGTTCGGTAGTGAAGCTGGCTAAACCCCACGGGTAAACACCGAGCTGTATGGCTATTCATCACGGGCAATATATCAATGATGTTTGAAGTAATAGAAAAGGATAGGAGCACTTTACAAGTTGTGGCCTGGGTCAGAGAGGAGCTCAATGTGCTAGATACTCTATGACTCAAGTGGTACAATAAACATACCTCTCTCACCCTCTCTCCCCATTTTTACGTTTACATACCTGGTTCAGAACAGTCTCACTCGCGCTCGTTCTTCGCTAGGCATGCGCTGAGCGACAATTACTTAATATATCTATAAGCACGCAAACAATTTCCTACGATTCTGATCTTTACCATCTCGAAAGATCATCCCATCTGTAACCACACAACCAATCGACAAACATTCAGCAACTTCTCCCACGAGTTATGAAACATCAAAATGTGTTTTGAGGAAGTCGCACTGGAAGAAAAAATATATCTCCACATAGAGCGTTAATACCATTCAAAGAACTCTACAGTACGTAAAACTGTATCATTAGGCAATGGAAGATAGTGGCCCGGTAGAGCAAAGGCTCCAAAATTAGTATTTGAAAAATTTACCGAAAACAAATTATTATGGGATAGTTATCGAACTAACCAGTTTGGATGACAAAAAAGGTACAATCACACCATGTGTTTTGTAATTAATTCTGCTTTGTAACAAGGCAAGTTCCTGAATTCGTGAGTGATGAACTCTTCATCACGAGGACATGTTCAACAGCTACATCTTAGTTTTCACAAGCGCAAAAGGCTTACTCTGACGTCAACTTTCTTGGCGTCCACCCGCTATTCCAAGAATTAGGGTCTATCCAAATCTTTAATTGAATCAGACTACATATTTGTCGAGGTCAGTCGCATGTTCAATGATTCAAAAATCGCCTCAAGATTTCAACTATATATCACTTCTGGGATAGATGCAATAAATGAAATCTTTTTTGAAAATACTGCACTGCCTTACTGTTCTTAGCAAGATCTAAGGGAACAGAGATCATTTAAGCTATATTATTCCTGCAAGATTTGCTGGAATATTAATTTTTTTTATAGAGATTCGGATCTCAATTCTAACCAGATGCCTTTTCTCGGAACGCGAAAAAAATGTAATGTCGGTGACGAAGAGCTACTTTTACCCTACAATGAAGATTTGACCTCTCTTGGGCGGAATGTTCATCAAAAGATGCAGGTGTACCAGATTCTCAGAGCACTCAACAAAGGATTCATGCCGTCAACTGAGCAATTAATCGTCATGATAAAGCTACTCCTTGACTCGGAATTTTTAAGTCAAGAAACTACTAGTATAAGCGAAAGTGGCCAAAAATTGTTAAGTTACTTAAGACAATGGATGCAGCAATTAATACAGCTATTGGGGGATAAAAATAATAATAATCAGATTCAAAATCTAATTGCTTATGCGAAGCATGCGAGGCTCTCAATAGACAGTGAACATCTAAATGAGTTTGCTAAGAACTCAAGAATGCGTGGCGATATCTTAGCAGGTAAGAAAATAAGTGTAGTTCGGACGCCTACTAAATATGTGTAGCATACGAAAGTATAAAAACAGCTAGTAGCCTTCTGTTGACTAATTCGGATTTCAGAATTTTCTTGTCAGACCTCAACAATATAAGTCGTCAAATACTTTCAGATACTGCTAATACCATCTCATTTATTTCAGATGAAGCTTCAAAAGAGATAGACCCTCTCTCAGGAGAAGGACAGATTTCAAGGCCTCTTGATAGTGATGACGATGTCGCACCTACAATGAAGGACTTAAACAACGAAATACGCATCATTAGCACCGTGACAGTTGATGGGCTTAAAAAATCTGTTCAGGGAGCCAAATCAAGTGTTAACAAGCATATCTCGCAAGATAACAAACAAATATTAATTAAACGTTTAAAAGCTGTTGCCAATCGGCTTAGAAAAAGAAGAGATTATTCTGATTCAGTTAATGCACTAAGTTATCTTGTTCAGAGATATGTAAAAATATACTCTCAGTCTCTAGACGAAACTTTCGGAGAATTTCAAAATGACATTGAGGCTAACGATGCGCTTCAAAATACACTCAAGGAACTATGGTCTCTCCTAACTTTATTTGGCGATAAAAAAGCTTGGGATATCCTCGAGAGCGACATCAAGAAGGTTATGGGGCATTCACAGAAAGATCCAAATTTTGAAAACCTTTGTATCGAAATTTCAAGATTAGCCGAAGATATATTCACGAACCCAGAGTTCTTTGAGTCGATTGACAAAAAACTTGCAGAGCTTAAGACAAGATATCAAGAAGGTGGCTCTGATTCACACCTCTTCGAAGACCTCAATACCCTCACATCCCAGATACAAAGAGTTTTCGACTCGGTTATGAACGACGAAGATGTCTCAAAATTATGGCATACTACTAATTCAATTTTTTCGACTTTCTGTCAACCTGGGAACTTGAGTTCCAAATTACCTATGGACATTTATTCTATAATTCTTCCACTTTTAATACAGATCATTCAATACATCCCAGTACCACGCCTGGAGATATCTGTTCAAGAAATTGACCTCCTCCTGGAAAATATCGTTTTCGAGCCAGGAAATACAATAAACCATTCCTCATTCTTTCCATTCCGACTAAAGATTCAATCGCTCAACGAGCTAACTTTACACAAAGCCCGTTTTCGTTTATTTTCTACAGCCACATCTCTCATGTCAATTAAGCTACAAGGCCTTTCGCTCTGTACTGAAGAAGTTGGCTTTTGGTTTCATTTACATCGTGGTCTGTTTTGGTTTTCTGACGAAGGCATCGCTTCTTTTGCATTAGATGGTAGAGGTATAGATATTGAACTTGATATTGAAATAGGCAAAGAGCGTCTAGAAAATATACTAACGTTGAGGGATGTCCGCGTCAAAGTCCACAATCTATCTTACAAGATCCAAAAATCTAGGCTTATGTGGCTTGCATGGCTTCTCAAGCCATTACTTCGTCCACTCTTTCGTAGAGCTCTTGAACAAAAGGTTTCTAGCGCAATAAAAATGTTTTTCCACTCATGCAACAGGGAGCTATTATTTGCAAGAGAGCGATGGAGAGCAACACGAATCTCGAACCCACAAGACCTGCGAACATTTTTGAGGGCTATTCTAACTCGTCTTAAACCAAGAGATGACCCAGATGCATACACAAATTTTGGCATCAGAGGCGCAGCCGGTATGAAAGGTAATCCCTTTTATGGCAAGTACGCACCCGGAAGCATAGTTAAGCTTTGGGATGAGGAGGTGACTCGAGCTGATGAGGTTGTTCATGAAAATGCGGCTACAAGAGACTGGAGAAACAATATTTTTGATATTAAAGTTTAGAGCCCAAAGTTTTGAAATTAATAATTAATTCAAAAATCATTCGCTAGATTTCATGAGCTTAATCCTAAATTAGCAACTAAACAACTTTTCATTTGGTTGGTAATTTGATAATTCATTCAGGTATAATAAAAATTAAAAAGCCACACACAGTTCTACGCAACCAATTTGAATAAATTAAATTCGTGACTTTTCTTTTTTACCTCATTTAATATCAATCCATATTTAATACCCATGTGCGACATTACAGCAGATGAAAGAGCTGGCGAATTTCAAGGCAGCAGACTTGACACTTTGTAAAAAGCTACTTTAGCAAGTAAGAATAATTTTAGAAGAGCCTAAATAGCTCTACAGGTTTGAATCTTCAAAATCCTGGAGAAATGGATGAAAATAGTCAGTCTCACGGACCTTGGTGGAGTAAAGAGGGTGGACTAAGTCATCATGGACGATTTCAACGAAGCTGTTAAATTTAATGACGATGACAAGAATGCCTGGGCCTGGTACTCTCTTGTATAGTTTGAGTAGCCGGGGCATCTACTCCACTTGGCAAAGAGATGCCAATACTAAATTTCGCGCGGAGGAAAGTTGAAAGATGATGGAGGCATGTCTGGATAACCCAGGGTTTTTGAGACGTTCCCCTGGGTGGGTATTCACGGATGAGGGTTGACTTGGGGTAAAGAAAAAGCCACCATAACTTCGCAGTGGTACTTGCAAATGAAATCTGAGGCATGAGTGCTCCTCTTGTAAATTGAGTCATCTTTTATGTACTTTTCTCTGATATTGTATCATAGCTAGATAGCTGCATACGCATTTATAATCTGTTGCAAAAAAAACTTCGTGAATTTTGCTTCGTAGAACTCCTGTTGTGTTATCCATGTAACTTACCATGGCATATGCTTGGGGGTACGTCATGTTAGTTACAAGTGACTGTTTAACTAAACTGTGGGGTATTTGGTATGTAATGTATATAGTGCCTCTGGGATATAATATGTTAACCTCGAAACTGTGATGTTTAAGGGATTAGCCCTGCAGGCGTAGTTGGGCTAGCTCGTAATAGGTTAGTTTGTCTCTCCTCCTTACCCCGCTCGCCATGAAGTATGGTCCAATCGTCATCTACTAACACTCTGTTAAAGAGACACTTTTTCAATAACACTTTTGGCTGCCTAACCTACGCAGTCCTTGAATCATAACACCACTATCAATTCATCCTCTATTCTAGTAAACAATGTCTCTCGAAAATTCTGCTTCAGAAACTACAGTTCGCAAGCATCTAACTCGCGATCAATGTATTGAAATAAGAACATAGAGAAGACTTGTCTTGACATTACAACATATATCCGACGAACTTAGCTTCACAAGAAGGCAAGTGCAACTTGCGTGTGCTCGAGAGACAGAGAATCCTAAGCCTCGCAAAGGACCCTCACCAAAATTAAGCGCGTAACAAGTTGATGAGCTTGAGGCTTTCGTCCGGGAATCTCCTAAAAATCGACAGATGTGCTATTTGGAACTAGCAATGGGACCTTTCAGCCGCTGTGGATGCAGTGAGGGTTTAATTTCTAATGACCTCAATAAAGAAGGTTATAGCAGATGCATTGCTCGGAAGAAGCTTCCGTTAAGTGTGGTTAACATGCACGAAAGATGTATAGCGGTGACAAAGGAAAATGGAGGGTTCACAAAGTATTGGGATGGAGCAGAATTATACAAAACATGAAGTACGCTTTCATTTTACTTGTGAGCCACACTGAGGGCTTCGATGTATACTTTTGTAATACAGAGCAATCATTTTTGAAATAGATGTGTAGATAATATTGATTGAATTTTTTTAATTTTAAATTTTAAATGAGGACCATTGTACTTTTCCTTTGGGGTTAAAAACCGACTCCATTAATTTTGACTTTCACGGAATATCGTTGGATAGTACCCTTGCTTGCAAAACTAGTCGACGAACTAGACATGGGCCTGTATGAAGATTAAACCAATCAAATCAATACGCACAGGGATCTAACCCCAGTCATTTTGACAATTGTACTTTTGATACCCTTAGGAGACTGTAGTGTGCATGAAGGTCGTCCGTCCAACAAATCTTATGCTATGCAGTTGGTACTAAATCAAAAAAGATTTTACAACCCAAAATAGAAAATAAAGGGAGAAGATTGATTACATCAGATCGTGATTTCGTTCGAATCAGACTGTTCGTTGTGCCCTTTCGAAGAAATCTGTGACACGCACCCAGTTGTTGAATGCATCAACTACTGACAGGTGTTGAGAATAGTCCCCCTCCGTAAAGATGTGCTATATCAGTAGATTGAAGTCACGGGACACCCGAAGCCCACAATTTTATGGACGTAGGCCCACCTCGTATATCATGTAGTGCGCGCTAGAGCATCGGGTAGTTCTGTAGGGACTGGGCCGTCAAGTACGTGACAGTAGTCACGAGCTGTGGATAAGCTCGACGTTAAATTCAATCAAAATAAAATCAAAATCAAATCTCGTATATCATACATCTTACCCATTGGGAATAACTATAAGTATATATCGATTCGTCCCTTTTTTTTAAACTCAGGATTTTGGATGGCTAGAAGAGCATTCACCATCTTAAACCTCATTTTTTGGAAACATTTCGTGTTTGTTTAGCTATCCAGCTATGAAGTATGATCATTGCTATGTGTCAAACGCCTCATCTGCGTCACCTATCTAGCTGATGTAGTCTCCCATAATCCGTTGTTCACATCGAACCAAAACCTTGATGCATAACCGATGTCTACACGACTGTTAAATTGTATTCTGTCTCTAGTATTGTTCTGGTTTCTGCATTGAGAATTATACGTCACCAAGCAAAACATGCCATTATATTAATCAAATTGAAACGGTGACCTAATATTGAGAGGAAGACTTGCAGGTCACGTTAGGTTCGTTCATTCATTAGATTGGATATGTTCACTACCACTAGCCATTCATTGCTTACCGTCCTTCATCTATAGACTTACAATTATATTTATGCACCCATTTAACCCTTAATTAACCCTTACATACAGCCGGCTGTTATTGACCTAAAGCCCTAGGCTTTTCACGGCTTCTTCCAATTTTGGGATATCATCTGCCGTGCTGCTCGGTTGTCCCCATTTAATTGTGCCCACTGTCCCTAATTAGCTTTTGAAATTAAATTAGAGTAGAACTTTGGGATAATCTAATGTTATCGTCGGGGTACAAAGGTTTCAGTAGCGGGGTAGAGAGGAGTGGCACAGAGATGAAAGATGGTATTCCTTACATTCGTTCGTACTCCAGGCACCTCCGACAACCCAGCGGTTTCCACTGGGATCAACCTCACGACCCCATATCCCCTTCTCTGTACCAAGTTTCCGGGCGGCCATTTGTGTCCATGGGTTCAAGAGATGGTAAGTCGTACTAACCCCCAAACCCCACTGGGCGTATACTTCGCGCTCTTCGTCAATGATGACTTGAACCGCCCAAGCTCCGCCTAGGGCATAAATCCACTTGTCGGTAGCCTCTTTAGTACAATGCGAAATGGCATAGAATATTACTTTGGGATACTTGTTAGCGAGGCCGCGCATGTTGAGGAAGGTCTCTTCGGCAACTAATTGCCCTTAAGTTAGTGTCATATCAAACTAACTTGATAATATAGACTGATCAAGTACGACTCACATGGGCATCCACAGTGCCTCAAGAAGACAACAATACATGGTCTCCGAGTGCCATTTGCCACAGGAAGGGCAAGTTTCGGACAGGTCGGTGCGCGAGTGTCAATCAGAGGTGGAGGCGCAACCTCAACTGGCGGTGGCATTGGGTTTTGCCACGACTTCAAAGCTACCGGCACCTGGAGGTTCGCGAATGGGTTCGCAAACGTCGATAGCGCACCTCCAGTGCCATCTCGACCTCCCGAGCCCGTAAGTGCAGAGACGTCGGGCATAGCCAGGCCGGAAGAAGGTATGCCGGCCTTGCGGAGCGCAATCTTTGTCGTCAATTTGGCCAACATGATGTAAATGAGTGGATGCAACAGTTCAGAGGGGCTTTATGACTGGATATGCTTTCTTTTATCGTCTGTGACTGGATAAAGCCAGACTGAAACGCAACGACTTTGGCAAGGTTCCTTTGAAACATTTGAGTTCGGCCTAGGGAAGCGGAGTAGAGGTTAGACCCCTTCTATTCATGGGAAAGCACAGAGATTTTATCGGTGTCAATCATCTGAGTCACTCGATTAGAAGGGATTGTCCCGATGGAATCAATAGCTCAGTATTCACGGACGGGTACGTAGTTGCGGAAAGTACAATATAACTTTATGCGCTTCTCTACACGTTCATCTTGAAAATAAATTTCTTGATCCTAAAGAGCTATACAATATCTACAGTTCATATGGCCATGGCCGTGCTCGCTAGCTTTATGATGATGATGATGGGAGCTCTAGTCGTTCGTAATTGCAGAGCGAAGCATGGGCAGGAAGATCAGCTTGGCAGAGGGTGGCAAATTTCAGGCCGTGTAATCCAGACGCGTCCTGTCAACCACTTTATTTATGTCGTTCCAACTGCCAAATCTCAAGTTACTCAACATGTTGGTTCCACCATTTATTCGGGAAGGCTGGGCGTAGAAAGTGTGGCCGTTGGTGAAAAGAGATAGATACGCTATATGACACATGTTCACATGAACATAGATTGTGCCCTTTTGGCAAGCCATGAAGAGAGGGACCCAATATACCAGACATCTATAGATTCAAGTGTTACAATACATACGAAACCAATCAACCCACAAGCCATGAATACCGGGGAAAGACAGTAAAATGATGTACTAGGGTAATCGAACGAATGATTCAAACATGTCCGGCGATAAGAAGGACAGGAGCTAAAAACCTGTCGGCAGTTTCAACCAGCCCAGTGTTGAATTTTCCCTTGACAGCTCAGACTTTGTTATAGTCAAGAGTTAGATCAGTCTTATTCGGTGGACTTTCGGCTTGAAGAGGCCATGTATGGTATCTCGGTCGTAAAATCTATGGGCACATACTTCAACATCACTTAAATGCCTCAGAAGAACTTACCACCACTAATATGCGGCTCACGGATAAATCTACATATGCATGGCGATAATATCTAAAAACTTAAAACGTCTCCATTCATCTATGATAAGTCTTCCTGAAAGAAATCTAGGCCTGCGAGCTACCTCAATTATCACACTGTTTACCCGCTAATAGTGCAATAGAGAAAGGCATATGGGAGGCTGTTGGACAGGCCGTGCCTTGTTATCTGATCGGATAACAAAGTAAGTTGGGAAGAGTTAGTTTCTCCTTACCTAACCACAACTGCCAAGCATGAGAAACTTACACAAGGCTGACTATTCAGCCTTGTAACTTTACACCATGCCCAGCCCCGATTACGATCATTTCCATCCGCAGAGTACCAGACCTACTCAGCTGTTGAGAGGCAACTAATAGCCCCATAGAACAGAGACGGGGTGTGACAAGGCGAATGAACAAGAGGAAATCGTAGCCATGCATAGGGGTTAATTTCTGCGATGATGACAACAATTCAGCAGCACCGTATCCAGATACTGATCCAGTAAGACGCCGGCATTCTAAAAGACAGACATTGAAGAGCATTAAGTCGACGTCAGCTCGGATCCGTAATCATCGGGCTTTCAAGACGCTTCAGCACTGGAAATTTGAATTTTAGAGAGAAATCTGAAGTGGTGGCGTCTTTCAGACGAAAAGAGAGTTTGAATGCACTTCAAAGTCAACTTGATCCAACCCGGTCTTACTCGTTCTGATGCTTTACAGTAAGTGCGGAAATACCTATTGAGAATCTTGCCGATTTACAAAGAACTACTTATCCATAGTCTAAATTGCATGATGATAAACAGAAAATTACCAGTATGGACTACCCAGGCTTGTATATTTCAAGTAGCTCAGTAGCCTGAAAAGTCTTATTTTTCGCTTCTAGGTTGTTAGAAGAATGTGGATCATACATCGATTCAGCTTATATTTTACATTTTTGTGTTGGTAAGTCTCAGGTAAAACCATGGAGTTTGCTATCACTCAGCCCAAAGCATTTTTCTTGGATTCTATCTTTCCCTAAATTTACCTTTAAAGCGGCTGAGATAATTGCCAGTATCATGGGCCTACATTAGAGACTTGTTGTCCAACTCATTCCGGAATCCCAGAATAATCAGACTTGTAGTTCGTAGGCTCATGTACTATTCATCAAATTTACAGTTTAACAAATCACGTATGATTATCAATATGGACCAGCGATATGGAAATTTTAGAACCCCAGCTAGTTTACATAGATTTAGGGTTTAGGAGAAGAATCATTCATCTCCTCTATCTACCTTTTCTAAAGCTCGTGCCCTAGTGAACATCCTATCCCAAGCCCACATTAATGTCAACAAAAAGTCGCTGTCGTATGTCATTTAATAAGTGGAATTCCGCCACTCTCCAAAAATGCTGCATTACCAAATCGAAGCACTGCTCGCTTTGAAGACCCGATACGTTCCGTTCATTACTTTGTGCAGCCATATTTGGCCAAATGATGACAAAACTAGGGCATAATTCGTCGCCCAACGTATCCTCTGCCTACCCGTACATTTGACGTATTTTAAGACCATTGGCCTCCTAACATTAGCACCCGGTTCCCAAAATACCAGTGCATGAGTTAAGATAGACGCCAACCTGAAATGAAAACGCTATACCATGGTTTAGAAATAAAAAATGACTGACACCAAGGAAATCATAATGGCATATTCAAGTATACCCCTTAGCAGAACTCTTCCCGTTCCCATCTAATATCTCGCGCCGAGTTATTGAAGTCGATAAGGACCCATGGGCGTTTAATTCTGTATTTTAAATTTCTGCACCTCAGTGTCAAAAAAATAAAGCTCCGTTTAGAAAACTAGCATACCGTGTGCTTAAAGGCCACTTGTAGGATGATGGTGTTGGACCATCGAAATTTTGGCAAAGTTTCCATATAAATCACGAGGTTATCGAGCTAATTACTCAATCCAGTGAGACAAGGCGGTCTTCAGTCGACGAAGGGTCTACACGCAAAACTTAGATACAGATGAAGATGACTGTAGGATGGCGCTATGTATATCCTCTTGGGTGACTTTATTTCATCCTCCCTTACGATCAGAAATATTTATCGGCATTTTTTCACTCTGACCATAACCATCCGCATTAGATTTTGACAAAATAGCCAAGCTTTTCTTCTTGTTTTTAGATACTTGCTGCCAACTTCCGGGTCCACCACCTTCACTTTTGATACCCTTGATATGTCGACCGGAAGTCGAAGGATAGTGCTGAGGGGTCGGTAAAGCCTTTAGAGGTATTGACTTTATTGGTTGATTCACGGCTACTGATCCAGTCTTTGAATAATTTGAGACAGACCCATTAATGTTACGAGAGGAGCGTATATCTGGCTTCTGGTAACTAGATGGCAACTGATTTGAAGTTACGCGTTCCGGAGAGATGTCAGATGAATCAACCTTGGAGGCTTCATTCTCGATATCCAGCGGAGAAACCGTACCTCCTTGACCTTGACGTATTTGTCTACTTTGAGGGTTCGTCAAGCTGTGAAATGGGTTTGCGCACGCCTTCTCTGATGATGACAAATTTGGAAAACTCGACGCAGTAAGTTTATCGTCCTTGAGAGACTTTGAAGTTTTGGGATCAACAGTATCTAAGCCTGCTGCGATCGGGTATTTAGCGACAGTGTGGTGCTCTGTCGTGGTTTTCGTTCGAAGCTCTCGGGACATCACTTGTGGTGATCTATCTTGTTCCACAGTAAAATCAATCTGCTCATATGGAAGCTGATGGCTAGATTCTTGACCAATTTTCTTAGAGTCCAGATTCGGACAGCTTTGAACGGATAAGCAGCTTGCGTTATTTTGTCGAGTTGGCACGGGCGATGTTACTAAGGATGTACAACTATCGACTGAGTTATGGCTATGCTTAAGTTCAATCCTATTGCCCTTCACACATTGGCATGATGAGAATCTGTTCGGAGTAGAAAGAGTGTCTGACAAGGGTAGGTCGTGCAAAAGAGGAGATGGCGAGCGAGAGGGCTGAGAGTTTGGTTTTATAGTTAGCTGTAACAATTGGTCAGTTGAATGCCGTCGTTTTGGTTGATTTACATTATCGAAAAATGGGATCCTCATAGGCGTCGTCGAATTTCGATGGGTCGGAATTGATACATTTTCTTGCATGTAGTACCCCACATACTCCATCGTTTTTACCTCCTCGGAAAGAGGATTTAAACTAAGCGATCCGATATTTTCGTCGGCTATAAACTTTGGCGATGTAGTGCTACTTTCTTGACGACCCTGGCTATGGTAGATATCTAATTTTGGTGCCGTCGCTCCAGCACCGAGGGAAATCTCTGATTGCGCAGACGGTGATATAACTTGAGAATAGGCTCGATGAGGACCCTGTATTGCTGAAGCCGCTTGTCCTAGGCCATTGGTCATCATAGATCTATGCACGCCTTTTCTCATCTCCGGCATGACAGGACCAGTTGATGTTAGTGAAGGACTCTTTGCGCAGTTCTGGTACTTGTAAAGTGGGGCCCCTTGATAAGGCATAGGGTAATAATAAACATCGGGATGCACAGAGACTGGGAGGGGAATCTGATCAAAAGAGCTAGTTCGGTTTCGATCCAGTGTCTTATGCTTGGTAGTTCCACTAGATTGTGGCTGGATATAGGCGTGCGTCTGCATGCCCTGCGAATACAGCTGAAGCCGTAAATTATTCTCATGTGCCTGCAAAGCTGAATATGTTGTTAAAAGGTCACTATGAAGTTGAGACTGTGCCTGTCGCTGCATCCAGGCTTCCTGAGGAGCTACGCCGGCCGGGTTTGGTCCTTGAGGAAAGTTGTCTGGGTCATGAGCTGCACTTGATGCTCGTCGTGAATTGCTACTACTTCGACCCTGTTGGCCAACATAACGACTCATACGAGGAGCATTGCCTCGGCCACCTCGACTGGCAGATGCACTTCGCAGTACCACTTTTGTCTTTGTTGCTGGCTCCCATATCTTGCGTTCCTCTTCTTTCGGGAATACCCATTCCTCACAACATTCACTTAACTTTGCGTGAGATATTAGATCAAAAGCTCTTCTAATTTCCAGGTGTAATCCACGAAAGGACGTATCATCTGCAGTATTGCCAAGATTCCGACTCGTGTTAAATGGTTCTTCAACGCACAGCCGATTATTATTTGTTATGTTCCATCCTTTCTCAATCTTCAAAATCTGCTTGCCACTCCGCACAGAAATAACTGATGAATCATAATCGAATTCGTGAGCATAGAACCTAAAAAATGCGAACAAGAGCTCGCCCAGAGATTCCTTGTTCTGGTCACCAAAGTTTCGCAGTGTTTCAATGTCATCTGCAAAAGCACTTTCTACGCCGTTCTGAGTGGGTAACTTCATATGTGGCCTTTGATGTAGTGCTGGTAATATAGGGGGATCCCGGCTTTGCAAAAAGTTAATAATCATACATATCCAAGTGTATGAGCTAAGTGTGCCACCAAAAGCTGATATTCGTGAGTTTGTATATGAGCAAGAGATAATATTTTTCACTCACCTGCATCGTTAACAATCCGCCTCTTAGTCCAGTGTTTGATAATCATCGCTAGGGGCCGGACTCGTTCGTCGATCTGAACGTAGGTTTTGATCATGCGGGTGTTTTCCAACGCTAAAGTGTTGTTCACATTCATATCACATGCTAGGCGTAACTCTGGGTCCCATATCTTCACAATTGGAACTTTTGCAGTCGATACACATATGACCTTCTGCATACCGTCTATTTTTTATTAGCTTCATTTAGATCGGCATAGTTAGACGTTACTTTTCGCAAGGAGGTCAGCTATGACACAGACACCTTCCATTTCCTTCATGTCGGTGGTTATACATATATCAACTGGATGAAGGTCAGTAGAGTTAGGTATAGTTATGCGCAGTAAATTCTAACCGTCTGATTGATCAGTGCAAAGCGAATTGCCAGAAGAGCCGAATACATGGACCAGGATATTGTGACCAGGCCATTTTTCGTTGAACAATTTTTCAAGTTTACAAACAAGTTTCTCTCTTCTTAGTTTGCACTCTGGGCTCGGTAGTAGCTGCTGGTATAGCTCATTGATATCATTAGACAATAACTCTTCTTCAACCGGTGACAGTCGAGTTTTAATGCTAGATGGATCTAATCTCTCTAGCTTTTCCCCTCCGAGACTGTATGGCATTCGCCTCTTAATATTAGCTAGAGCTGTTTCATAACGACATCCGCCTCGCTGAGGCGCTGATCTTGAAGAAGGTAAGATTAGATTGGATTCTGAGTATGCTGATCGTGGTGAATGATTGTTGGTTGCGTTTGGAGACGGCTCCTGTGATTCGAATGAGAATGTTCGAGGATGCTGATGGGGCGTAGAAGGAACGGAATTCGACTGTTGATTTACTATAGAACTGTAATTATATGGTTGAGATCTCAAGGGGCGTTGCTGGTGCTGATTCGTAGTACACTCCTTCTGTGCTGGCATCTTGGCAGAATTATCTACCTCTGCAACGAGCACGCGCTCGCCTTTGCTGAATATACGTGAGTCCTTATTCCCATTGCCCTCCGGACCAGACGACTCAATTGTTTTTCCCGCCGTAATCGCAATTGAGCAGTTTTTCGTGCCAGGTATGGTGTGGGCTTGTTGAGCGGCAATGGTAGGGTCTAAATATGGAGAACGAATGTCTATGAACTGATAACGAGCTATTGGCTGTCGGTAGTGTAGAAATCGTATCCGATGATACGGTCCTGGTGAGTCTAGATGAAAGATGGGAAGTATCTTAGATCGCGACAAAGGTTGGACAAGCAAGAGTGTATTCGGCGAGTGAGTGGTTACGGCTTCTAACCGACTTTTGCACTGCGAATGTCGGTTCCACAGTTGGCTAGATTTATATCGATACTGGGAATCATAAGTTAGAGGCAGACCCTCCATTCATGATACGCAGGTGAGCGAATAGAATCTGGATGAGGCTTATCTTCCTCTTTTATCATCAAATAATATAGTGATAGTTGACTGCGGGGTATGAGAAGATTGGCAGGACGGAAAATATTTGGCAGCGAAGAAGTTTGTGGGCTTTGCAATCAACACACAGTGAGCAACATACAACTACTGCGTTTGGCATAGATTATGAGGATAAATTCGTTAATTTAGGACAGGGCTCATTAGCGCGAAACTAAATCAGCGGCGGAAGGAGGGAGTCACCGAGAACACGAATTAGTCTTAAATAGACCCCATGTAGATATTGCTCAAGATCCATCCTTCTTCCAATGCAAAGTAAATATGCTGCCGCTATCTCGGGTAAGTTGTTGCCTCAGTCTCGCAAACCACCACATAAGGACAAAACTTGCCAACCAGAAGCCAAGTTCCATATCGGCCCCTGACGAATCCGTTTCGACGCTTTCACTATGTGACTGTACGTCTGTTGATAAATATTACTTCAAGAGATGAAGAACTGCTGCGGACACGGCTTGTCCTACTCAGAATTGAATTTGTGAAATAACAGTAACCTTGCCATCTCTGTTCATTCCTCATGCCAGTAATACTTGCCTCACAGATAAAATTATTTTGCGTTTCCAACACAGTTGTTATGCTTAGAATCACTTAGCGCACTCAAAGGGTCACGATTTGAGACTTGAAGACTCACGGACCCCTTATGGTCTCTAGTTTCGGCTTTACATCACCCTAAAAACCCACCGGAGCAGCTGAGACGTGTAATCCTAGTAACCTCCCTAATGACCTCCGACACCAATCCTTGATCATGTGTTTTTGGCAGTGTGAGCTTTGCAAGCTAAGAAATGAGTTTGTATGACGGGCCAAAGTGATGGACCCAGATGACCTCGTCTGTAAATATTTTGGCCGTCCCTCGTTGCGCCATACTTCGGATAGGCACGACCTTGAACTCTGAATATGCCTGTCACATTCATTTACGGCTGATATTTTTTTTTAATTAGTGTGTGTGTGTCTAGGGTCAGATGAGGGTAGACAGGGCTAACGGCGTTTCTCACAGTAGTTGCGCATGGAAGTTATGTTGACTAAGGGCATACATACATACAGGGCTAGCGAGAGTATCTCGATACACGCTTCTAGATGTGTATAGATATATATTTATGAATTAGCATTATTTCGCGAGTGTTTCTGGGCTGAAAACAGGCGAGGTTCCGGGTTGCGAGTTAATGCATATGGCGTGACTGATTGATTTTTTGATTTGTGGTACATCCAAACTTCAAGAACCCATAGTTCGTGTAATCCCTCTATATCTAAAAGTTGAGGATGCCTGTGCTTTTGGTAGTTTATCTGACGTATTACGAGGTTAAAGCATGGTTCGACTTATCAGAAAGAGTATTTCGAGACAAACTCAAATAAGGGTGTGTGGGTACAGATCGTCCGTCGACCCAAAGGCCCTCAAATTGTTACATTTACGGGACCGGGCACCGAGTAATTGATCCGAGGCAATCCTCAACACCTCTGGAACAGGAGACTCCCAGGCCTCTAATACTTCAAATAAACGATAGGAAGCGCAGAGATTGCTGCTTGTAATGGCCAATGACTCATGTAGAGGAAGTAGTTGATGTTTTCATGGCCGTGTTGACTTAGAATTAGAATTTGTACGCTATGAACGTTAATTGTAAGTCTGCAGCACTCTGTTGGTATCTTCTCTAAACAGTTCATAATAGCATAATAGTAGCTGTGTCTTCGAATCTCGTTCAGATGTCGGTTCTAGGGCAGCCCGGACCTAGTTATTTTTGCAAGTTTTTGCGGTTGCTATACACCCGCAATTGGTCTCCGATACCTTGGTTGGAAAGGACAGATGCAGAGCATAAGACTCTTCGGAGTGTTTGAACGAGTGATTCGTCAGGAGGCACTTTTAGATAAGGTCTTTAAAGCAAATGGAAGAGGATATATACTACTGGAAGTAAAGATACCCATGACTGGTAGGCGGATAATGTGTATATGTTACATGCAGTTGTGACCAGAAAGAGACAACAGTAATAACAGTGTTAAGTAAAGTTACAGCTTTATCCACTTCGACCTTTGTGTCATGCTGTAGGAACAATCGGCCAGAGTAAATCCCCGATAGGCCGCTTAAGCAGTACTATGGACCCAGTCACACCACATTTTTGCACGAACCATTGCTCGTTTAGCTAGAGGGGACCCACTGCTAGCAACTGGCGGCCCCAAACAAATGCTCGAAAGTGTGAGAGTGGGGGCAACACAGCTGATCAAATAACGCGATAGAAATACCAAAGGTAAATTTTTCCCAAATTATATCTTTACTCAGCACATAATCACGGAGAATAAACCAATCGTAATGTGTTATTCATCTCGGTCGTTAAGCAAAATGTTGCATCACTATGAGTATTGGTCACTTTGCACATCAGGACAGACAAATCACAACTACTATCAAAGGAGCGCATCATATTGGCTTCGCCGAGAAGATGCCTACAACAAATCTGCAGCAAAGATCTTGTGTTTATCACCTGTTACTCCACTAAGAGCAACATCTTATACAAAACTGTGCAAAGATATAACTAGAAGTCTGCGATTTCTATCTAGTTCGCTGCCTTGAAGCAAGCTAGATTCATGGTGAACAGGAGACAACTCGCATGAATACTTGTAGTATACGATCGTTGAATCACTAGATGCTATCAATCGAGAATAATCCAATTAATAGAGATAGTTATTGGCACGCCTATGGTCTAATATTTTTTATTGAGTGTGCTTGTGAGCCTAACAGTGTGTATCCTTTCCGACACTATTTATTAACTTTTATATCGCCAGACATCAAGTAAAAGATTATAACATACGAATGTAATAACTACAGAAGCATTTGACTGAGAAAATCAGTTTCAAGATCGCCAATCCACCACTCTACCGTATTCTTTACTATTGTCATAATATTATTGGCAGGCTAATAATGTGGTAAGCACTTTTCTTCTTCATGCTAAGACCTTCCTAGATCCGCAGACAGTAAATAAGTAGTGAACTAAAAGCAACTAAGATATATCAACCGTCTGTCGGTGTCCAGCAAGGTCTGTTTTCATACAAAATCTAGTTTATTGGTTTTTTGAATAAATCCTACTGATAGGTTTGGGAAAATTTTTTTAATAACTGTCGGTGGTGTCCCATACTAGCCTCCAGCTCTCACTGCATAGTTTGCAAGGCCAAGATTTAGTAAAACCTTCGTTCCTAATACCATAAGGATTCCCAAACGCTCTCGTGATCTGCATCGTCTTCATCTCTCAGCAAAGCCCCTGTGAGCATTATTATAATACTGACCACGACCAGATCAGAAAGTAGGATCGAAGCCCTAATTGTCACCCACCCTAGATCATAGAGAAGCCATCCGAATTGTTTCTAAAGCATACCTAGCTCCCAATGTAGCGGTGGTAGATTGGATCAAGTTGGCCTCTTGTGTTAAAAAGAAGGGACATATAGATGGGTTTAGATGGAGAAGCGCAGGTCGTATGCCTCCGACGTCTAGGCCTCGTTTTTTTTAAATTCAAATTGTATTCAGCTATTTAGCTATGACAATTAGGCCTCGTATGCCTAGCTGAGGCTATAGGTTTTTTGAAACTTTTACCCGCGCACGCATTTTCCATTGCAACCTTTTTGTTTTTTGGGGGTAGAAGGCTCCATAAGAATAGTGACTGGATTCTGCAGGTAGATACTGATTTTAATCGTTATTCATCATGAGGATTTTGTGATATTTTTTCGCAACGAAATAGGATGGGGGCACTGTTCAAGGTGTGGCCTAGGTTAGAGGGAGCCCATTGCGCCGGAAAGTGATAGACTCAAGTAGCGCAGTAAAACCAAGCTAACTAGCCTACTGATGGGTAGGGAAAGAAGTTGGCATGTCAAACAACGGTGATGTTGTGAGCTTCATCCAACATCAAGCCTCACGTGATGTTGGCTAAGCCTAGTTAGGTTAGATAGAATTAGCCCGTGCAAATGAGGGTATCTCACTGTTACTGGCTGAACAGAGGGAGAATAAGAAATCACGATTTAACCACCACGTTGCAACGTAGTACTTTTGATTTATACGATACTATGCCGTATCAACAGGTAAGCCTTGAGTAAACAAAATCTATGTGTGTCATTTCTTAACCTAATATTTGATAGAAAGCCATTTCAAGTCTACAAAATCCGTAATTGCCCTCAACCTTGATCGAAGTAAATGGCTAACCGAGGATTCCTAAAGGGGAAAGGAGGAATGGATCTTGCGGCAGAATGCACACAAACGTAAATGTGGGTTTCAGAAAGGGATAGACAGTGACGAAACGCTAAGCCTACAAATAATTAACTGAATGTCAAATTCTGCAACGTGCACAGATGAGTAATAATCTAACTTTACCTTGCTTCCTGAGACACACAAACTTTCAATCTCCAGATATAGAGATTTTTCGTATTATTCAAGTGTATGCGGTTATTTAACCATGACACACAGCCGGTGCCTTGTGTACATGTTGTCTCTTTTTACTTCAGACACTCATGTTCTGGATTTCAATAAAAAAATACCGCTTTATTTTATGATTTGAATCTTCTGAATTATTCATATACTCTGCAATATGTGGTGTACAGATCTAAACCAGATGAGGATAGTGTTATGAAATCACCGACAACAGTGTGTGGACGAGATGGAGAAGAATGCAGGATATTAAATATCAAATGGTGGAATATTCTACTAAAAGTAGACAAACGAGTTATGTGTACAAAAAGAAGTATCCTCCTCGAATTTAGTGACCATGGATATAACGCACAATAGTAGTTCTACAAACAGATTCATCTTTCTTCTACAGCCACTTATTCCAAAGCTGGTAGAGACGAATTCTTCACCTTTCAGCGGTACCATTATAATTTCTCAGCATGCTCTGAAAATCTGAGATAGCCAAGAATAAGATCCGAATCAAAGTCGAAAGCAATCTGAAGCATAT